AATGAAATTTATAGCTTCAATATTTATTTGTAAAATATCAATATCAAATTGGGTACTATTACCTTATTTTTTGGTATTTTCTCTACTTTTCCAAAAAACGGTCCAATTTACCCCTATGCGTCAATTTTACGTGCCTGGTACTAAGAGAGAAAATATGCTCTATCAAATTTCACTATAGGCCCTGGAATAAAAGAAACCTGTAGCTCTGATATATATCAAGAAATTAAGGTTAGAAAATTGGGCATAAGAAATAACATTTTTGGTCGATTTCATATTGTTTTCAATAATTGGTCAAATCACCCATTAAATTTTATTTTAGAAAAAAATTACCAAAGAACAAAAGATTCTGCATAAAATTTCGCTATAAGTTACTGAACAAGAGAAATCTGTATATATAATATATATTTTCGAAATATTGGTTCAAAATTGGGGGAAAAAAATAAAAGTATATTTTATTAAAATTTCTAGTGCTTATTTGGTATATTTTTCATTATGGCCGAAATCGTCAGCAACCATAAATTTAAGGGATATAGCCTCAAAGAAAAACATGTTCCTCATCAAATTTCACTATAAGTATCCAAATAAGGGAAATCTGTAGCTCTAATACATATCAAGAAAAAATTAAGGCAAAATTTGGTTATGCAAAATATTGGTGCTTTTGGTCGATTTCGTGTTTGTTTCATTTTTTAACGAAATCTCCTTAAAGATTTGAATTTAAGATATTAGTGTTAAAGGAAAAATTATTCTCCATAAAATTTCACTATATACTGCCGACCAACTGAAATCTGTAGCTATAATATATCTGAAGAAAATATGGGTGTAAAATTGGTTAAGCAAAAGATTGGAGTTTTTGGTCGATTCCGTGTTAATTTAATTTTTTAACGAAATCACCTCCAATATTTTATTTTAGGCAGTTAGTGTTAAAGAAAAAAATACTCTCCATAAAATTTCACTATATACCGCCGACCAACTGAAATCTGTAGCTATAATAGATATCAAGAAAATATGGGTGTAAAATTGGCATTTACATTGGCGTTTTTGGTCAATTCCGTGTTAATTTAATTTTTTAACGAAATTACCCCCAATATTTGATTTTAAGCAGATAGTGTTAAAGAAAAAAATATTCTCCACAAAATTTCACTACATACCCCCGACCAACTGAAATCTGTAGCTATAATATATATGAAGAAAATATGAGTGCAAAATTGGTTATGCAAAATATTGTTTTTTTTTGGTTGATTCTGTGTTAGTTTCATTTTTTAATGAAATCACCTCTAAAATGCTATTTTAGGATAATACTCTTAAAGGAAAAAATATTCTCCATAAAATTTCACTCCATACTTCCGACCAACTGAAATCTGTAGCTATAATAGATATCAAGAAAATATGGGTGTAAAATTGGCATTTACATTGGCGTTTTTGGTCGATTCCTTGTTAGTTTCATTTTTTAATGAAATCACCTTTAAAATGGAATTTTAGAATAAAACTCTGAAAGGAAAAAATATTCTCTATAAAATTTCACTCCATACTCCCGACCAACTGAAATCTCTAGCTATAACATATAACAAGAAAATATGATGAAAAAATTGGTCAATCAAAACATTGCGGTTTTTTGGTCGATTCCGTGTTAGTTTCGTTTTTTAACGAAATCACTTCTTAATGTTTAATTTAGGGGATTACTCCTAAAGGAAAAAATATTCTCCATAAAGTTTCACTATATGTCCCCAACCAACTGAAACCTGTAGCTATAATATATATCACGGAAATATAGCTTTACCATATGTGTATATTAAAATAGGTATTTTTGGTCAATTTGGTATATGTTTAATAAAATACCCAAAAAAACCTGTAGGGACTAATTTTAGGGGAAGAATGTCAAAGGTAAAATTATTCCCCACAAAATTCTAGTATGACTTCACAAACAAAAGAAATCTGTAATTTCAATATTTATCAAAAAAAAAAAAACTTAAATTAAATAAAATTTAAAACCAACTTTTTGAAGGACCATATATAACCCCCAAGCCTTGTCGACAATTTTTTTCTTTCTATACATTTTTTTAATATTTAGTATTTCTTTATACATACATTTGTTTTTGCATAATTTTTTGCTGATTTTGTTTTTTTTTTTTTGTTTCTTGTATTTTAATTTTAGTCTTTTTATATTTCCAGTAAGCGTAACATTTTAGGTTTCCTTTTTTGGGGGGGGGGGATTTTTCTTTTTTTGTAGGAGCGAATGAGTTTCGTTTGAGCGGAGTTCTGTTCTGGGGTCCAGACTCCTTTGACACGAATGTAAAACCTTAATTTTTTTCTCTTGAGTTATTATCCATTGATCAACAATTATGATTTTGGATGTTTCCTTAGAGGTGGGGTGGATGTGACAGTTAAAAATTTGTTAGTAACAATATTGACAGTGGCTGTTAGTTGTTGTTGTTTGTTTCTTTTTTTTTTTGCGGTGGTACATTTTTTTTTTTGGTTTTAGATATTATTTGGGGGGGATTTTTGGGAAGTGTTGGTAGAAGAAAGGGTAGAAAGGGGGGTTGGGAGAGAGAGAGGACTTTTAAATCCCACGTTTTTAAATGAAGAAGAAAAATGGTTTTATGAGAGGTAGTTCAAAAAATTCTTTTTAAAAAATATTAAATTTTACAAAAAAAAAAAAAAAATAAAATAAAAATAAATAAAATAAATATTTTTTAAAAAATATTAAATTTTACAATTTTTTTTTTAATTGAAAAAATGTTTTTTACGACTTACTTTTTTAATTTTAAAAAAATGTTTTTTTTTAAATTCAACATTAAAAAGAATAAAAAATATTAAAAATATATTTTTTTAAATATTAAATTTTACAAAAAATATTTAAATTATTTCGATTTTTTTTTTGATAAAATGTTTTAAACCTCAAGTTTTTTAAACATAAAAATGGGATTTATTAGTGGTAATTCAATAACTTATTTAAAAAAATCTTTTTTTTAAATTTAATTTTTTTTTAATTTCAAAATATTTTTTAAAAATATTAAAAATTACAAATATTTAAAAAAATAAAAATTCTTTTCGATTTTTTTGTTTAAAAAATTTCTTTAATCTTACGTTTATTTTAAACATAAAAAAAAATATATTTTATGAGTAGTGATTCAAAATTGTATTTAAAAAAAAACATTTTACTATTAATTTAAACAATCTTTTTAAAAAATTCAAAACAGTCTTTAAAAAATATTAAAAATTCAAAATATTTTTTAAAAATAATAAAAAATTCAAAATAATTTTTAAAAAATATATTTAAAAAAAATTTAATTTTTCAAAAAAATATTTAATTTTTTTTTTGTTGAAAAAATATTTTTGAAACCTCGCATTTTTTTTCAACTCTGAAAAATGGCTTTATAAAAAAATAAAAAACTATTTTTGAAAGCCATTTAATTTTTTTTCGTATTTAAACATTTTTTTTAAATTACAATATTTTTTAAAAATTCAAAATATTTTTTTTAAATAAAATTTTCCAAAAAAAAAAAAAAAAAAAAAAAAATTAAGGAACATCTTAGTTTTCTTTTTTAATATAAACAATCTTTTTAAAATATTCTAAAAATTTAAAAAAAATTAAATTTTCCAAAAAATATTTTTCGTTAAAATAATGTTTTTGAAACCTTTAATTTTTTTAAATCTGAAAAATGGGTTTTATGATAATTAAAAAAATTATTTTTAAAATTTAATTTTAATTTTTAATTTTTTCTTATTTAAACATTTTTTTTAAATTCAAAATATTTTTTTTTAAATTTAAATTTTTTAAAGTTCAAAAATTTTTTAAATAATATAAAATTTTCCAAACTTTTTTTTTCAATTTTTTTCATTGAAAAAATGTTTTTTAAACCTTACTTTTTAAATCTAAAAAATTGGGTTTTATGAATGGGTTTTAAAAAAAATTATTTTTTTAAAAAAAAGGTTAAATTAAAAATATTAAAAATATTTTTTAAAAAATATTAAATTTTAAAAAATTTTTTAATTTATTTTTTTGATCTTTTTTGTTGAAAAATGTCTTAAGCCTCAGGTTTTTTTTAATATTTTATGAATTATTTTATGAATGGAAGTTAAAAAAATATATTTTTTAAAAAATATCAATTTTTGTTAATTTAAACAATTTTTTTTTAAATATTTTAAACTTTCAAAAATGAAAAAATCAAAATATTTTTTGAAAAAAATTAAAAACATTTCTCTAAAAAATATTAAAACTTACAAGAAATATTAAAAAAACTCTCCTTTTGAAATTATATTCGTTAAAAATGTATTTGAAACCTCACGTTTTTTTAATTTAAAAAAATGAGTAGTTAAAAAGATTATTTAAAAAAATGTTGATTTTTTTTAATATATATTTTTATTTTTTAAATTCAAGATATTTTTTTAATTTTTAAAATTTGATATTCAAAAAATTATTTAAAAAAAAATCAATTTTACATTTATATTTTTTTAATATATATTTTTATTTTTTAAATTCAAGATATTTTTTTAAATTTTAAAAATTTGATATTCAAAAAATTATTTTAAAAAAATTTCAATTTTACAAAAAAAAAAAAATTAAATTTCTTTTTCGATTTTTTTTTCGTTATGGAAATGATTTTGAAATCTAACGCTTTTGAATATAAAAAATGGGTTTAATGAATGGTAGTTAAAAAATAATTTATAAAAACATTTAATTTTTTTAATTTAAATATTTTTTTAAAAAAATAATAAAATTTTTTTAAAAAAATATTAAAAATTGAAATATATTTTAAAAAATATTAAAAATTTTATTTTTTTTAATATTAAAAATTATTATTTAAAAAATATTTTAACAAAAATATTTTTTTTCGAAATTTTTTGAAAGTGTTTGTAAAAATTCTCCATGTTTATCGAGGATTTTTCACAAATATTTCAACATTTTTAAGGGATAAATTTTTAATTTAAAAAAATATTTGAAATGAAATTCTCTTCGACCATGAGCTCAAAAGAGTATTTGGGAGAGTATTTTTTAAAAGTTATTTGTAGAAGGACTTCACGCACCTCTCTCTCTCTCGCATTCTCTCTTAGTTTCTTTTAATTTTCAAATTATGTTTCTTTCCCTTAAAATTTCTTCCCACAATCCGTACTACCCGCCGAGGCCCCATCACCCGCCCAGCGTCTCCGCCTTGCCTCTTTGGCCGCCTGCATTTGTGCAGCCACCCGGCTCGTGGTGGGATTTGCATCAAAATCGGTGTAAAATTCCACTTCATCATCGGCCGTGGAATCATAAGCGTTTGAAACATCTCCACCACTTGCCCCACTGCCACCGCCACGATCAATATCGAAACTAACATTCTTACTATCTCATCCACCCCGATGATGGACTTCTGCCTCGGCAGATTCTTGGCTGCGCAACTGTTGGCGATACTCATCCAGTTCCTGCATACGGTACGTGCCCAAATTCACCTGCATCATGAGCGTTTCCATGATGCATTCATTTTTCAACGCCTTCGAGGGCAGGACAATCGACAGCAGTTCACTGGGTGAAATGCGACACAGATTTAGGTCACGCGTCAGACGTTCCATGATGCACTCGAACTCGAATTGGGTGTCCTTGTTGGGATGGACCTTCATCTTGGACACCTTGTGTTTAGCCCAGGCCAACATGGCCTCGAATTTACGGATCTCGGGACATTGCAGCTCGCGGCACATGATCATCTGGACCATGGACTCGGACAGATTAAGGAATTCGGGACACTTGAAGAGGGCATGGGCTTTGTTCTCCACAAAGGACAAGATCATGTTGACCAATTCGGAAGCGGAAGTGTAACGCCAATAGTAGTTCTCCAAGGATATTAACATGGGACAGACGACCTCGATGCGTAGGAATTGTTTGCAGTGGTGAAAACAGGCCTGCAGCAGTTCGGGTAAATCATAATGTTCGGCAGCACAGAGGAGACCTGGAAGACGAAATGTATAAATATTTGAAAATAATTTTATAAAAAATTCAAGTTTACCTGGTATTGAGACACATGTCAAAGGACATGTCCCCGTATGCAGATAGTCCAACAGCACCCTAAATGTTTCCGGATCGAATTCAATGATTGTAAACTCGGTTTGGGCCAACTTCGCTCGATCCACCTTCTGGGCATCGGCACACACCGAGAGTCTAGGCACAGCCAGATTATTACCTGATTTATCCTTGTCTTTTTCTTTGCTATCCCTGTCTATTGGTTTGTTGTTGTATGAAACAGGCAACAAAAATAATTTAAAAAATAAAAAAAAAAATGGAAAAAAGAAGAAGAAGCAACCAAAAAATATGAAAAAATAAAGAAATAATTAAATAAAAAAATGCATGAAATGAGAGAAGTTGAGCATCAATGTTTTGTTGTAAATAATTTTTGGGTAAATAAGAAATCGAATTTTCCACGCACACAAAGAAAACAACGTTGATAAAGATTCAAAAGATGATCAAGGAGAAATACACACACATAAAGAAAATTACAAGGCGATATTTTCGGCATGAAATTGAAAATAACTTAAAGAAAGAGAGGTGAGAGTATATTTTTCGAAAGAGAAAAATGTGATTTACCATTTATGACATTGAGACAAAAAGAGAAAACAAGATATGAGGCAGGAGTTTGATGAGATTGTGGGAAGTGAAAGCAGTTATAAATGAAGAGAGCGTGAATTAGAGAAACGTACATGAAGTGCAGGTGAGAAATAGAGTTCAAATATGAGGGCATGACAAATAATGGAATAAAGAGAACAATTACAGAGTAGTAGAGGAACATGTTGTTAGGAGAATTAGAATAAGAGAATGAATGATAAATAAAAATATATTTAAAAAATATAATAAATCAAATAATATAAAAAATTAAAAAATAAAAAAAAAAAATAGTATAGATATCAATTGTTAAAAAATATTTTCAAAATAAAATAAAAAAATATATATAAAAAAGTATAAATATCGTTTGTTAAAAAAATATTTTTAAATTAAAATAAATAAAATAAATAAAATATTAACAAATTTATTTTAAAAAAGTGCAGCATAAAAAGTAAATGTATATTCAAAAATATACAATAAATTGTATTTTTATAATACATGAAAAAAAAAAAAAAATAAAACAATAAATAAATAAAGTTAAGTATAAAACAAAAAAATTTTTTTAAGAAAATATATATAAATTTTTGAAAATAATAAAATAATTAAAAATTAAAAATATAAATAAAAAATATATTTTTAAATATAAAATAATAACAAATATATATGTTACACAATATAAATATTAAAAAAATGTGTTTTTATAAAATCAAATATTCACATAAAGTAAAAAATATTTTTTAAATAAAATAAAAAAAATAATCAAATAAATACCAATATGTAGAAAAGTATATATTTAAAAAAAATAAATATAAATAATATTTTAAAAATCATCATTTACAAGAGAAAAGAGAAATTATGTATGAAGGAAATTATGAATATAAAGAAAGATAATAAAAATATTAAGACATAAAAAATAAGTGAGAAACAAGTATTGAAAATTAAAAACAAAAACAAACAAAAAATACAACAATAAAAAATATATAAATTATTTTTAAACAATTAAGAATACAAAAATTATATAATTTAAAATTTTTAAAAATTAAAATAGAAAAAAAAAATAAAAATAAAAAAAGGTTAAACAATATTTTTATTTTTTCAATGAAATATAATTTATACCAAAAATTAATATTTAAAAAATAAAAAAATAAACATAAATTATGTATACAATTGAATTAAAAAAAAAATAAAATATAAAAAATTAAGTTAATATTATTTAAAACATACAAAAATATATATTTAAAATAAAGAAGAAGGAATTAATTTTTTAAGGAATTAAATTACCAAAAAAAAAAATTAAATATATAAAATTTAAAAATTATATTAAATAAAAATGTTAAAATGTCAAAATTAAAATTATATTCAAGTAAGGTTTTAATAATTTTTAAGGAGTTAAATAAGAATTTGAAATATTTAAATTTATATTTAAAGAGTAAACATTAAATAAAATATTTTTTTTTTAAATTAAAAAAAAAAATATTAATAACAATAAAAAATATTAAAAAATATTACAAATTAATAAAAAATTAAATATTAAAAAATATTTAAAATATTAAATATATATAAGAAATGAAATTTTTAAGAGTTAAATTTGAAAATAAAATATTAAAAAAATAATAAAAAATAAGTTTTATAAAAAATTTAATTATTTTTGAGGAATTCAATAAAAATTTCAAACATTAAAATACATAGTTAAAGTACAAAAATTAAATAAAATAAATTTTTTAACAATTAAAAAAATAACAATTAAAAATAAATTATTTTAAATTAGTAAAAAATTAAATATTTAAATATCATAATTGTAAAAATAAAAAATGTTAAAAGAAAATTTAAAAATATTATGTAAAATTATTTATTTAAAAAGAGGGAAAAATAAAAAATGGAATCAAAATAATAATATTTTTATGTTTTGTTTTTTTTATATTAAATAAACATATATTATTTAAAATATTAACAAAAACATAAAAATATGAAAAATGTTAAAATTTAAAAAAAAGACAAAAAAATTTGTAAAAATATAAAAAAAATAAAATTATAATAATTTTTAACATTTTTTAGAAATAATAAAAAAAATAAATTTAACAGAAATAAATTATATGTCAATATTATATATAAACATTTATAAAAAATACAAATATAAAATTTAAATATTAAAAAAAATAATAAATAAAAAACACATTTTTATTAATTTTTAAATATAAAATGAGAATAATAAAAAAAGAAAAAATAATTTTTATTAAAATTAATAAGAAAAAATAAATATTTTATATTACATTTTATATTTGTTTTCACAATTAATGTAAACAATAATAATAGTTTTAAATATTTTATATTATTTATAAATGATAGATAGATAGATAATAATTTTTAAATATTAAATCAAAATAATGAATAAAGGAAAAAATATGTTTTTTATATAAATAAAGTTGAAAAATAAATATTTTTTTATAATATAATATTTTTTTATATATTTTTATAATTTTTAATTAATAAAAAATAAAAAATTAAGTTTTTTATGATTAAATAAAGTTGATAAATAAATATTTTATCAAATATTATTATTATTTTTTTTCAAAATTAATGTAAACAATAAAATTAATTTTCATTTTTTTAAATATTTAATAAACATAATAAATAAAATAATAATAAAAAGGAAAAATATGTTTTATTAATTTTTAAATATTAAATAAAAAATAATGAATAAAGGAAAAAATATTTTTTTATAAATAAATAAAGTTGAAAAATTAATATTTTACATTTTATTAATATTTTTTTAAATTTGTAATTAATTGTTAATAATTGTAGTCAATTTTTTTAATGTTAAATAAATATAATAAATAATAAGGAAAATATTTTTTTTTTAATTTTTAATTAATAAAAAATAATTTTTATATGAATAAATTAAGTTGAAATATAAATATTTCAAATTACATTTTATTATTATTTTTTTTTTCAAAAATATTGTGAAAAATAATAATAATAATAATAATAATAATTTAAAAAAAAAATAATAAAATAAATAATAAAAATAATATATAAAATAAAAATGAAAAAAAATATGTTTTATTAATTTTTAAATATTAAATAAAAATAATGAATGAAGGAAAAATGTGTTTTTATATATAAATAAAAATAAATATTTTTTAATAAATTTCATTATTATTTTTTTTTAAATTAGTGTAAACAATAGTGTAAATTTTCAAGTTTTGAAATAATAAATAAAAAATAATAAAAAGGGAAGATTTTTTTAATTAATTTTTAAATATTAAATTAAAAATAATGGAAAAAAAAATATTTTTTTACACATAAATTATTTTTAATATTTTATTTTTTTTTTATTAATTATTATTAATATTTTTTTTTCAAAATTAATGTAAACAATAATAATAATTTTTATTTTTGTTTAAATATTTAATAAACATAATAGATAAAAGAATAATAAAAAGGGAAAAAATATTTTTATTAATTTTTAAATATTAAATTAAAATTATGAAGTAAAATAAAAATAATAAAGAAATAAATAAATTTAAAAAATAAATATTTTATATTACATTTTATTATTAAAATTTTTTTACAAAATTAAACAGTAATTACAATTTCCAAATCAAAATTTTACAAAAATATACAAATAATTTATTTTCTCAGTAGAAATGATTAATGCATACGTTTTAGATGGTAACGGAAAAGGGCAGAGAGAGAGAGAGAGCGCCGTTTTTACATGAGTGTTAATAGTGAGTGAGAGAAATGAACATTTGATTATTTGGATGAGTATGGGAGCGAATTGAAGAGTTAATATAAGAGCATGTATATATGTGATTTTAATTATGACAAAAACACAAACATTTTTAATAAATTTTAAAAAGCCAATTGTGAGAAAAAAGAACATTACAATTTTGTAACAAAAAACAGAGTTTCAAAACGAATTTTCAAGCCAATTTCAAAACGTATTTTTTTTTTTGGGAAAACAATTTACAAAAATTAAATTTTTATGGAAAAAAACGGAAATTACAAATCAAGCCAGATAGAGAGATAAAACAAATAGGTGGCAACATTGTTCCATTCGTAGTTGTTAAGTACACATTCGTTTACAAGGATATTTTACACACGACAGTTGTAGTTGTTGTTTTTATTTTTGTTTTATACAGGGAGGAGATTTTTCACACGTTGTGGTTAGTTAACAAGTGGTGGTGGTGGATTGGATTTTCATTGGTATCGTAACGAATCGAATCATTCAAAGACGTACAAAACACACACCAACAACAACAAAAAAAAAAAAAAAGAAGAGACCAAAAAACACACATCGATATATTTGTAATTATTTAAACTCAAACTCTTACTCGAACAATCCGTTGACGAGATCCACTTCTTTTTGTCCTCGGGATTCAGCTGATTGGTGTTCTTGTTGCGTATCGAACGACCCCAGCCGGCAGTGATGGTGCCGAGGCGGGAAAAGGCCCTCTTTACCATGGGCGAGGAGGGTACACTTTTCGGTCGTATCGAATCGGAATCGGGCACGGTGAGATAGTTGTTACTTTTGGGTTTTTGATTTTGCGGTGAAACCAGAGAGGGTGCCGGTCGGGCAAATATTTCAGCAACGGGTATTTGGGGTGAGCCGAAACCGGTTTGGATGCCATAGAGCATTTCCTGAAGGCGGAGGGGAAATTGATTTTAAGAATTTTGAACATTTTTTGGGATTTTTAGAAACTCACCTGAAACACTCGACTTCTCACACCCAGTATGGCCCTTACGCCAATGAAGCGGGCTTTCTGTTTCGACTGGCCCACCAAAAAGGTGACATCGAACAGATGGGCATTTTGTAGGCACGATGGTTCTGAATTCAAAAATACACGGGTAAAATCTTTCGCCAACTGATCGTAGTCCTCAAATTGATCGCGAACGGAGTCCAGCAGAGGGGAGGAGGGTCGCATGTGACCTAGATTTCGAAAAAAAAATATATTTTTTTTAAAAATTTAAATATTTCCTGAATTGAATTAAATTTTCAAATTTTCTTTTCAAATCTCGGGATCTGATGATGACATGCTCGAATTAAACATTTAAAAAATTATTTGAATTTTGAGTTTTCGTAAGTTTTGTATGTATGTACATGGGAGGGAGTTGAATTTCAAGGTGGGAAAATTTAAAAAACTGGATTTTTAATAGAAAAAAAAAAAAAATTGAAAAAAAAATTAAATAAAAGCTATGCAAAAGGGTGTTGAGAGGAAAATTTCGAGTTGGACTGCAGAACAAAAGCCAGAGCATTGGATAATGTTGATGAAGCTGACTTCGAGGTTTGGTTTTTCAAAATGTTTTTGTAGGGGAGGTACCAGAAGCAGTACTCCGATGTCTTTCATATTCACACCAGATCTAGGGTTGGTAGAAATATTAGGATGTGTGAAATTTGAAGAGAATCAGAGTCTTATATGGGCTTTTATGAGCGTTTTTGTTATTAAAAATGTTAACGCCATTTGTGTGGGAGGTACCAGAAGGAGTGGGCGGATTTTTCTCATATTCACACCAGATCTGGAGTTGATAAAAATATTGGAATTTATGAAATTTGAAAACAATCGGTCACTTATTTCGCCTTGTGTGAGCGTTTTGATTATTCCAAATTTTGACCCCTTTGTGGGGGAGGTACCAGAAGGGGTGGATCGATATATTTCATATTCCCCCGAGTTCTGGGGTTGGTAAAAATAGCGGAATTTATGAAATTTGAAAATAAACGGCTTCATATTTCGCCTTTTATGAGCGTTTTTGTTATTAAAAATTTTAACCCCCTTTGTGGGGGAGGTACCAGAAGGAGTAGTCCGATGTATCCCATATTTACACCGGATTTTGTATTAATGAAAATAGTAGGATGTATGAAATTTGAAAATAATAGGTTATTTATTTCGCCTTGTGTGAGCGTTTTTATTATTCAAAATTTTGACCCCTTTGTGGGGGAGGTACCGGAAGGAGTGAAACCATATTTCCCATATTCACACCAGATTTAGGGTTGGTAAAAATATTGGAATGTGTGAAATTTGAAAAGAATCGGTTACTTATTTCGCCTTGTGTGAGCGTTTTGATTATTCCAAATTTTGACCCCTTTGTGGGGGAGGTACCAGAAGGAGTGGGACTATACTTCCAGTTTTCTACCCAGATTTAGGGTTGGTAAAAATATTGGAATGTGTGAAATTTGAAAAGAATTGGTTACTTATTTCGTCTTGTGTGAGCGTTTTAATTATTCCAAATTTTGACCTCTTTGTGGGGGAGGTACCAGAAGAAGTGGACAGATTTTTCCTATATTTACACCAGATCTTGTATTAGTAGAAATATTGGAATCTGGGAAGTTTGAGAAGAATCGGTTACTTATTCGCCTTTTGTGGGCGTTTTGGTTATTCAAAAATTTGATCCCTTTGTGGGGGAGGTACCAGAAGGCGTGGTCCGATATTTTCCATAATCACACCAGATTTAGGGTTCGTAAAAATATTAAAATGTGTGAAATTTGAAAACAATCGGTTACTTATTTCGCCTTGTGTGAGCGTTTTGATTATTTCAAATTTTGACCCCTTTGTGGGGGAGGTACGAGAAGGACTTGGCTAATTTTTCCCATATTCTCACTAGATCTTGTATTAGTAGAAATTTTGAAATGTGGGAAGTTTGAAAAGAATCAGTTACTTATTTCACCTTGTGTAAGCGTTTTAGTTATTCAAAATTTTGACCTCTTTGTGGGGGAGGTACCAGAAGGGGTGGGCTGATTTTCCCCATATTCACACCAGATTTTGGGTTAGTAGAAATATTGGGATGTGTGAAATTTGAAAAGAATCGGTTATTTATTTCGCCTTGTGTGAGCGTTTTAATTATTCAAAATTTCGAACCCTTTGTGGGGGAGGTACCAGAAGGAGTGGGCCGATATTTTCCATATTCACACCAGATTTAGGGTTGGTAAAAATATTGGAATGTGTGAAATTTGAAGAGAATCGGTTACTTATTTCGCCTTGTGTGAGCATTTGATTATTCCAAATTTTGTCCCCCTTGTGGGGGAGGTACCAGAAGGAGTGGGCTAATATTCCCCATATCTACACCAGATTTAGGGTTAGTAGAAATATTGAGATGAGTAAAATTTGAAGAAAATGGGTTGCTTATTTTGCATTTTATGAGCGTTATGGTTATTAAAAATTTTGACCCCTTTGTGGCCGAGGTACCGCAGAGTTTTCCCAAGGAAAATCCCAATTCCGCCACGTTTTTCCAGAGATTTTCTCACTTCAGCAATTTTTATTCATCCACTTTAAATGGGGTTAAAAAATAAATGCATGCTTTTAATTTAATAATAAAATAAAAAATTGAAGGACATCAGCAATATCCTTTGAGTCCTGCCTGCCTGCCTTCGAATTTTCCTTTAAATCATCAAATCAATGGATACCTCATTGCCGATGATGATGTCCTACAGCTGTCAACCGGATGTTTCGTTACAACGAACAAATCGAAGGCAGATAAGAAAGTGAGACCGGAAACACACACAGACAAATAAATAACAGGAGTAGGGAAGAGAAGGGAGGGGGTGGTGAAGGGGGCTATATAACATTCTCCAGATTGACAGCGATAAAACCGGCATGCTTGTATTTTGGCCAAGGGAACAAAGACACTCGAATGACTATCATTTATTATGCATGAAGATTAACGGCAAAACATTAAGGCGCTGGCGAAAAGGATAACCAAGGAGCATGCACTTCAAGGCAGGCGAACACACACAGACACACACAGAGCGAGATAAACACTCATGTGCCAAAAGAGAAATGGGGTTGGGAGAGGCATTTGATGATGGCTTTTGTGATTTTTGCTGGGCCACAATAAAAGATAGGTTTCTTTATTTTTATTTATTTTTTTCTGAGGGGGTGGGGGAGGGGGTATTGTTCACCCCTTTATGATAATGGTGTTGCCACATTAGAAGCCATTAATCACATTGACATGTGATTGGATTTATTTTTTGGGGCAAAAAAAAATAGCAGAAACAGTGGGCTATAACTCGAATGGATGGGATTTAATTCAGTTAAAATTTTGAATGAAAAAAAAAAAACTGAATTCGGTTTCCTGTTTGGGAAGAGATTTTGGGGATTTCAAGAAAAGAGAGGAAACTTTTTCGGGGGTATACCTTTTTTTGGAATTTTAGGATATTTGATGCTTTTTCGTTAAAATAAATAAATGCAAAAAATTTTTGTTTTGGAAAGAGATTTTTTGGGGTTTTTTTGGGGATTTCAAAAAAAAAAAAAAAAAAAAAAAAAAAATAGGGGAAATTTTTCGGAGGATTTTATGAGATTTTTTTTTGAATTTTTGGGATTTTTCTTGATGTTTCCAAGAGCCGGTTTAAAACACTCAATTTTTGGGAATTTTTGGGGGTTTAAGGAGAGTCTAAAATTTGGGGAGTTTTTTTTTGAGGATTTTGGTAGAATTTTCGACGAACTACGACTCGATTCGCTCTTTTTTTTTGGGGATTTTCAGAATTTTTTTGGAGGTTTAGTTTTTTTTGGAAGAGATTTTGACGGATTTTTTGGGGTTTTTGGAAGGAGATGTTTTTTTTGAAACTTTTGGATATTCGGTATATTTTGGAAATTTTTGTGAACTTTTTTGACAACTTCCAATTTTTTTTAGGTATTAGACTATGATGGGATTTTTTAAAATATTATTTCCAGGGCCTACATTGACACGTGGATTTTTTTCTAAATATTTTTTCAGGTAATAGATTATGATGTGAATTTTTTAAAAATGACATGAATTTTTTTTAAAAATAAATTTTCAGGGCTTAGATTATGACGTGAATTTTTCAAAAATATTTTTTTAAGGCCTTTACTGAGACGTGGATTTTTAAAAAATATTTTTTCTAGGCCTAAATTATGATGTGAACTTATAAAAAATATTTTTTCTAGGCCTAAATTATGATGTGAACTTATGAAAAATATTTTTTGAGGGCTTAGGCTATGGCGTGGATTTTTTAAAAATATTTTTTCAAGCCCTTTACTGAGACGTGAATTTTTTAAAAATATGTTTTCAAGGCCTTTACTGAGACGTGGATTTTTAAAAAAAAAGTGAGGGCTTAGACTATGGCGTTGTTTTTTTTTTGTAATATATGTTAAAAGCCTACATTGAGGCATGGATTTTTAAAAAAAATATTTTTTCTAGGCCTAAATTATGATGTGAACTTATAAAAAATATTTTTTGAGGGCTTAGACTATGGCGTGGATTTTTTAAAAATATTTTTTCAAGGCCTTTACTGAGACGTGGATTTTTAAAAAATATTTTTTTAAGGCCTTTACTGAGGCATGGATTTTTAAAAAAATATTTTTTCTAGGCCTAAATTATGATGTGAACTTATAAAAAATATTTTATGAGGGCTTAGACTATGGCGTGGATTTTTAAAAAATATTTTTTCAAGGTCTTAACTGAGACGTGGATTTTTTAAAAATATTTTTTCAAGGCCTTTACTGAGACGTGAATTTTTAAAAAACATTTTTTCTAGGTCTAAATTATGATGTGAACTTATAAAAAATATTTTTTGAGGGCTTAGACTATGGCGTGGATTTTTTAAAAATATTTTTTCAAAGCCTATATTGAGGCATGGATTTAAAAAAAAAAATGTCTAGGCCTAAATTATAATGTGAACTTATAAAAAATATTTTTTCTAGGCCTAAATTATGATGTGAACTTATAAAAAATATTTTTTTGAGGGCTTAGACTATCGCGTGGATTTATTAAAAATATTTTTTCAAATCCTATATTGAGGCATGGATTTTTTAAAAATATTTTTTCTAGGCCTAAATAATGATGCGAACTTATAAAAAATATTTATTTGAAGGTTTAGACTATGGCGTGGATTTTTTAAAAATATTTTTTCAAAGCCTATATTGAGGCATGGATTTTTTAAAAATATTTTTTCAAAGCCTATATTGAGGCATGGATTTTTTAAAAATATCTTTTCAAAGCCTATGGATTTGTTAAAAATATATTTTTTTATTTTATTTTAAATGCAGGAGGTTCCACTGTCTCGGCAAACATTTTTGGGATAAATGGATATTTGCATGACAAATAAAAGAAAGGAAAAAAAAAACACCAAAACACCCCAAGGAAGAATAAGTAAAAAAGAAGCTCTCCACCATTCGGAAAGAAATTGGAATTTTTTCAAAAAAAAAAAAAAAAAAAAAAAGAAAAAAAAAAAATCCGTCGAAAAATACCCCTCAAATGAAAATTTTTATATGGGGGCTATAAGAAGACCTGGATCTGCACAGCCAATTTTTCGTCATAGGCTGAAGTACCCATTACGAATTTCAAATACCAAATTTGAAACATTTCCGGTGAATAATGTCGCTAAAATCATCAAAATACAGAATATAGGGAGATACCATTATATGGGTGCTATACGAAGACATGGACCTGCATAAACAATTTTCTGTCACAGGCTGTAGTATCCATTACGAACCTCAAATATGAAATTTGAAACAATTCCGGTAAATAATGTCGCTGAAATCATCAAAATACCGAATATAGGGAGGTTCCCTTATATGGGGACTATACGAAGACGTGGACCTGCACAGACAATTCTCCGTCACAGACTGTAGTACCCATTACGAACTTCAAATATCAAATTTGAAACAATTCCGGTGAATAACGTCGCCAAAATCATCAAAATACCGAATATCGGGAGGTACCGTTATATGGGGGCTATACCAAGACCAGGTCTTGCATGGACAATTTTCCGTCATAGGTTGTAGTGTCCGTTACGAACTTCGAAGACCAAATTTGAAACAATTCCGGTGAAAAATGTCGCTAAAATCATCAAAATACCCAATATCGGGTAGTAGCGTTGTATGGGGGCTATCCAATAACGTGGATCTATATAGACAATTCTTTTCCAGGGGGTAAAGTACTCACAGAGAACTCCTTGTGTAAAATTTCACACAATTCCATTAAAAAATGTGGCTAAAATCATCAAAATACCGAATATCGGGAGGTACAGTTATATGGGAGCTATACGCTATCGTGGGCCGATATAGCCCATCTTCGAACTGGACCTGCCTGCAGTTCAAAGATAGATGGGTGCAAAATTTTAGCTTCCTATCTTTATTCGTTTTGACTCTAGCGGGGTTACAACAGACGTACAGACGGCGGGACGGACGGAGAATGTAGAACTTTACGCCGATCAAGAATATATATAATTTTTTGGGTCTAAAATTATTATTCTGATGAGTTACAAACGGAATGACGAACTTAATATGCCCTCCATACTATGGCATGGTGGAGGGTATAAAAAGGCAAGAATAAAATAAAACATGCCGGCTGATTTGAAAAGTGAAACATCTGGAGAAATGAGCACGTTTGTTCATGTTTACGACCTGTACATTAAAAGGGTGTTTACACTGGTCATAATGGGATTTTAATGGAGTTAAAAAAAATAATAATAATAAAAAATAAAATGAAAAGGCGTTATAACATATTTACAGCCTAAAAGTAGGCAACACAATTTCACACTCAGAAAAAAACAAGAACATTACAAAGAGAATTCAAGCCAATTTAAAGGCTGAAAAGGGAGGTGGGCTGGAACTACATTAAAATCAAAGACAGACAATTTTCTCATCTGTCTCTGTGAGTATTTTCTCTTTTTTTTTTCTCTCTCTCTCTCTCCTCTCCCATATACTACATACTATGTTTAACAGACAGTTGCACACAGCACACATCAACGTCCAACGATGACGAGAGAGGTGTGATTTGTGGCTCATTTGTATTGGCTAAAACTCTTGCATGCAACATTTTCTTATATTCTTCCTCACCAATTGGCCGCCACGAGCCGCGGCGATAGGGTTTCGGTATTTGTCCGGTCTCAGCATGATTCGATAAATTCATTACCAGATCTTCGAGCATTTGGGAGCGGGTGCGCTCCTGCATGCGTGCGAATTTCGGCGCTGAATATGAGGCACGTTCACCGTTAACGATTTTCGTTAGGAGCCATTCTCTGGGGGAAATTGGAAGAGAAGAGAATTTTTAATAGAATTATTATTTTTTTTAAATAAATTTTTTTTATTATTTTTTATTAATTTTATTTTTTTTTTAATTTTTTTATACTTTTTTATATTTTTTATATTTTTTTTAATTAATTTTTTATACTTTTTTATTATTTTTTTTTTAATTTTTTATTATTTTTTTATTAAATTTTTTATAATTTTTTTTAATTTTTTTATACTTTTTTATTAATTTTTTTTATTATTTTTTTATTAATTTTTTTAAATTAATTTTTTTTTTAATTTTATTTTCTACCCACCTGCACATTGGTCCTTTTTCGAATACCGATTGTTCCCATAAATATGGCTTGTAGGCACCCACTTCGTCTCTGGTCACTACTGAGACTTCATAACGGGTTGGTTTGTGTTTTATTCTAGCCGAGACTCGCACCTAAATGAGAGAGAGAGAGAAAGAGAGAGAGAGAGAGAGAGATTTTTAGTTTTGGGAGTTTTTTTGGGGAATTGTTGGGGGTTTTGAGGGATTTTTTTAATTTTTGGGGAATTTTTTGGATATTTTGTTAAATTTTTGGAAAATATTTTTTTAAATATTTGGCTGAACTTTTAATGGGATTTTGGTCAATTTTCTGGGGAATTTTTTTTTTTGTTTTTGGGAATTAGGTATTGTATAAAAATGTTTATTTTTATATCTGCCGGACGAAGGTCTATTTAGGGGAATTTTGAGGATTTTTTGGAATTGTTTCCCTTTATTATTTTTTATATATTTTTGGGATTTTGAAAATATTTTGGGTAAACATTTTTTGGATATTTTGATAAAATTTTGGGATGATATTGTAGTAAATATTGGGGTGAGCTTTTAATGAATTTTTGGTCAAATTTCTGGGTTTTTTTATTTGGGAATTTGGTAGTTTTTGGAATTGTATTCCTTTATTATGATTTTTTATTAATTTTTTGGGAACTTTTTTTGGATGTTTTTGTAAAAATTTCATTGTAGTAAATATTCGGATGAGCCTTTAATGAGATTTATGTAAATTTTCTGGGGTATTTTTTTTTGTTTTTGGGAATTTGGTATTTTGTGGAATGGTTTCTTCTTATATTTGACTTATGGTTTTTTTGACTTTGTGAGATTTTGAAAGATCTTTTTGGGAATTTAGAACAAAATTTTGGAGAAACTTTTCGGTGGATTTTTGGAGAACTTTTGTTTTTGGGAATTTTGTATTTTTTGAAAATATTTCTTTTTATATCTGTCTGTGGAAGGTCTTTTTTTGAGGGATTTGGATATTTTTTTGGGTGGGGGAGATTTTTTTGGGGGATTAAAAAAAACTTTTTTGGGGATTTTGGGAGAACTTTTTTTATTGAATTTTTGGATATTTGGAATTTGGTATTTTTCGGAAATGTTTCTGTTTAAATCTGCGGTCTAAAGTCTTTTTTGGGGGATTTTGAGATTGTTTTGGAAATTTTGCTGTATTTTTGGAAAGATTTTGAGAGACCTTTTTTAATTCATTATTTGGCACGATTTTGGAATATATTTTTGGGAGAGGTTACTGCATTTTGGGAAGCTTTTTTTGAGAATTTGGGGGATTTTTTTTGGGTATTCTAAAAAAGTGGAGAAGTTTTTTTTCAGTGGACTTTGGAATAATTTTTTTGGAATTTGTTTTTTTTTTTTTTAAATTTTGGGAGTTTTTGTTATTTTTTTGAGAAAATTTCGAGGAATATTTTTTGGGAGATTTGTAAAAAATGGGGAAACCGTTTCGGGGTATTTGGCATTTTTGGTAGATTTCGAAGATTTTGGGGATTTCGAAAAATATGGGGAAACTTTTTTGAGAATTTTTGGATATTTTGTCCTTTTTCGTTGAAATAAATGAATGCAAAATTTTTTTTGGGAAGAAAGACTAAAATTTGCGAAAATTTGGGGTGTTTTTGGAAGACCTTTTTTGGATTTTTTTTTTTTTTTTTATAAAAAAATGAATGCAAACACTCATTTTTTGAGAATTTTGGGGATTTAAAGAGAGATTTAAGAAGAGACTTTTTCATGATTTTGGTAGAATTTTTGGAGGAACTTCGATTCGATACGCTCTTTTTCTGGGATTTTCTGAATTTTTAAAGGAATATTTTTTTTTTGTTTATTTTTTTGAAGAGATTTTTTTGGGGATTTCCAATTTTTTAAGGGCTTAGACTATGACGTGAATTTAAAAAAAAATATATTTTTTAAGGTCTATATAGAGATATGAATTTTTTAAAAATATCTTTCAAGATTTATATTGAGTGGCGGATTTTTTAAAAATATTTTTCAAAGCCTAAATTGAGACATGGGTTTTTTCAAAATATTTTTTTAAAGCCTAGATTATGATGCGAACTTTGGATTTTTTAAAAATATTTTTTCAGGGATTTGACAATGACGTGGATTTCTTAAAAATATTTTTTCAGGGATTTGACAATGACGTGGATTTCTTAAAAATATTTTTTCAAGGCCTTAATTGAGACAGGGATTTTTTAAAAATATTTTTTCAGGGCCTAAATTAAGACGTGGATTTTTTAAAAATATTTTTCAGGGCCTAAATTGAGACGTGGATTTTTTGAAAATATTTTTTCTGGGCCTAAATTAAGACGTGGATTTTTTAAAAATATTTTTTTCAGTGCCTAAATTTAGACGTGGATTTTTTAAAAATATTTTTTCAGGGCCTAAATTAAGACGTGGATTTTTTAAAAATATTTTTTCAGGACCTATATTGAGACGTGGATTTTTTAAAAATATTTTTTCAAAATCTATATTGGGACGTGGATTTTTTAAAAATATTTTTTTCAAAATCTATATTGGGACGTGGATTTTTTAAAAATATTTTTTCAGGGCCTAAATTGAGACGTTGATTTTTTAAAAATAGTTTTGCAGGGCCAAAATTAAGACGTGGATTTTTTAAAAATATTATTTCAGGGCCTAAGTTATGACATGGATTTTTTAAAAATAATTTTCAGGGCTTAGACCATGACGTGGATTTTTTAAAAATATTTTTTCAAAGCCTTAATTGAGACATGGATTTTTTAAAAATATTTTTTCAGTGCCTAAATTTAGACGTGGATTTTTTAAAAATATTTTTTCAGGGCCTAAATTAAGACGTGGATTTTTTAAAAATATTTTTTCAGGACCTAAATTGAGACGTGGATTTTTTAAAAATATTTTTTCAAAATCTATATTGGGACGTGAATTTTTTAAAAATATTTTTTCAAAATCTATATTGGGACGTGGATTTTTTAAAAATATTTTTTCAAAATCTATATTGGGACGTGGATTTTTTAAAAATATTTTTTCAAAATCTATATTGGGACGTGGATTTTTTAAAAATATTTTTTCAAAATCTATATTGGGACGTGGATTTTTTAAAAATATTTTTTTCAAAATCTATATTGGGACGTGGATTTTTTAAAAATATTTTTTTCAAAATCTATATTGGGACGTGGATTTTTTAAAAATATTTTTTTCAAAATCTATATTGGGACGTGGATTTTTTAAAAATATTTTTTCAGGGCCTAAATTGAGACGTTGATTTTTTAAAAATAGTTTTGCAGGGCCAAAATTAAGACGTGGATTTTTTAAAAATATTATTTCAGGGCCTAAATTATGACATGGATTTTTTAAAAATAATTTTCAAGGCTTAGACCATGACGTGGATTTTTTAAAAATATTTTTTCAAGGCCTTAATTGAGACATGGATTTTTTAAAAATATTTTTTCAGGGCCTAAATTAAGACGTGGATTTTTTAAAAATATTTTTTCAGTGCCTAAATTTAGACGTGGATTTTTTAAAAATATTTTTTCAGGGCCTAAATTAAGACGTGGATTTTTTAAAAATATTTTTTCAGGACCTAAATTGAGACGTGGATTTTTTAAAAATATTTTTTCAAAATCTATATTGGGACGTGAATTTTTTAAAAATATTTTTTCAAAATCTATATTGGGACGTGGATTTTTAAAAAATATTTTTTCAAAATCTATATTGGGACGTGGATTTTTTAAAAATATTTTTTCAAAATCTATATTGGGACGTGGATTTTTTAAAAATATTTTTTCAAAATCTATATTGGGACGTGGATTTTTTAAAAATATTTTTTTCAAAATCTATATTGGGACGTGGATTTTTTAAAAATATTTTTTTCAAAATCTATATTGGGACGTGGATTTTTTAAAAATATTTTTTTCAAAATCTATATTGGGACGTGGATTTTTTAAAAATATTTTTTCAGGGCCTAAATTGAGACGTTGATTTTTTAAAAATAGTTTTGCAGGGCCTAAATTAAGACGTGGATTTTTTAAAAATATTTTTTTCAGTGCCTAAATTTAGACGTGGATTTTTTAAAAATATTTTTTCAGGGCCTAAATTAAGACGTGGATTTTTTAAAAATATTTTTTCAAAATCTATATTGGGACGTGGATTTTTTATAAATATTTTTTCAAAATCTATATTGGGACGTGGATTTTTTAAAAATATTTTTTCAAAATCTATATTTTTTTTTTAAAAATTTGTTGAAAATATTTTTTCAATGCCTTTACTGAGACGTGGATTTTAAAATAATTTTTTCTAGGCCTAGATTATGAAGTGAACTTATAAAAAATATTTTTTGAAGGCTTAGACTATGACTTAGATTTTTTTTAAATATTTGTTCAAAGCCTATATTGAGGCATGGATTTTTTAATAATATTTTTTCAATGCTTACACTTTGCCGTGAATTTTTATAAATATTTTTTAAGCTTTAATTAAGATTTGGATTTTTTAAAATACATTTTTTAAGGCCTCAAAATATTTTTTTTGCAGTGTTTTTACGAATTTTGGTAAAATTTTGGGAAACGTTCCTTTGACTGGGATTTTGCTAAATTTTTTGGGGATTTTTTTCTTCGTCGCTACTCACCAAAATAAACGTGTGCAAAAAATGACTCTTTATACAGGCCGGACTAAAGCGGGTATTGTCTGCCTCCAAAAACACCACACACACAATGTCATTGCCGATGTGACGTTTCCGCTGCAGTTTCTGGGGGTCGTGTTTCTCATAAGGCAATAGTGTAGAGACATGGAACATGATCTCTATATTACGCCAGTTTGTATATACAGAATACAGTCCTGGAGGATGGAGAGAGAGAGAGAGAGAGAGCAAAGAGAGAATACAAGATAAATGAGTTGAGAGAGTTAAGAGTAGGATTTTTGTTCTCCTCACCCACCTGTTAAATCATGTACTGTATCAAGGCCACCTTTGTATTTGTCAAAACCCTTCAGGCGTACGCGATCACCCAGCAGGGTCAGGAATTCATCAAAGAGCAGGGAATTTTCATTATTGTCCAAAATTTGTTCTTCCGTGTATTGGTCCTCCTTGACATAGATAACGCCGACTTTGAGTTCGGATTTTATGAAAACCTGGGTTTTTTTGGAGGAGATTGAGGAAAAATTTATTAAAAAAATATTTTTTTTCCACAAAAAAGGAGTTCCGTACCTGATCCAATTTCAGCAATTCCTCGGGGGTGTCCGGCAGTTGACCCAATGTCAAGGGTGGATTTAGATTCACTTCTTTGCCCAGAGATCTAACCACTTCTTCGCGGTTGTATCTGGAAACCAAAAATAAAAAAAATATTGAAATTTCAAAGGACCTCTTCTTGGACCTCCTCAAAAACAAAACTCACCTATCAGCAAAAACACAAGAGGCAGGTATCAGACCATGAACCGTATAGGAGCCAGCCCTCACTAGGATACGAAACTGATCTCGCCCATTCAGGGTCTCCTGTTTGATGGACAAAATCACCGGACCCAGATCCTCGTCGCTGGTAAAATAATTCCAATGTTCATGGCCAAAGAAATACTTCTCATAGGTCTCCTGTTCCACGGAGATCAGCTCAAAGGCGCCATTTTGTTCCCACTGCTCCTCGATGGTGGTCTTTTTCCTAGGACTTAAATATTCGCATAAAAATGCAACAACATGGAACGGCATATAACCGAAACCAAAGCGAAAAACAGGTGGGACAGGCAGACAGACAGACAGATGAATGGGGGGGAGGCAGGGGAAAATTAATTTTTTTTTCACATTTTGAACTCAAAAGAAGAGGTGGGGTGGCAAATGACATGGATGAGTTGGAAAGTTAAAAAAAAAATTAAAAAAAAATTAAAATTTAAAAATTTAAAAAAAATAAAAAAATATTTTTTTTTAAAAAAATAATTTTTCCTTAAAAAATTAAAAAAAACTCAAAAAAAAAATTCTCCTCTCCTCCAAATACCTTGGTGTTGCCTCCGAATCCTCATCATCTTCATAGAGATCGCTGCATTCGCGCTCCAAATAAGCATCACTAGTATTTCCACCCCTTCCCACATCCTCGTGTTCCGAATCACTTTCGTCCCATATCGTGTGATTTGTGGGCATGGAGATTTTTTGGCGGGAACATTCAATCCAATAACCGGGTGTGGGCATTAAATTGTGGGGATATTCTTCGCAGAATTCATCTAAAATGGGAGAGAGAGAGAGCGAGAAAAAGAGAATTAAATAAATATTGAAGCATACTTTCAGGGATTAATGAATCAATTCTTAATTTTATACGAAAAACTACCTTTTTTACATTTTAAATTTTGCCAGTTTTTATATTTATTTATTTTTATTTTTTTTTTTAATTTTTTATTTTTATTTTTTTAATTTTTTATTTTTATTTTTTTATTTTTTTTTAATTTTTATTTTTTTAATTTTATTTTTTTATTTTTAATTATTTTCAATAATTTCCCCATCAATACTGGCCATTGATTAATTACCCAGCATCAGTTGCCCAATATAGGCAATTATTGTTTTATAACGATTGCACATTCCCAGGGCTGGCAAGGCCATTAACATTAAATAATTCATGGCAATGATTAAAACGTGCCAACCATCGTCTTGGCTTCTATTTTCGATGCCAGCAATTATTCAAAAAGTTCAAATTCATTTTCTGTTTCTGATGGCGGCAGTTCATTAAGAAATCGCAAGACATTTCGGGTTTTTCTTTTCAGCGGGAAAAGTAATTGCTGGAAAAATGTTCATTTTCTTGGATAATAGAGAAATACTGGCTGTTGCAAAGTAATTTAGTTTATATTGCTACTCTTTAATGTAAATTGACTTCCGTTTCCGCCAACAAAGCCATTGGCAAGGCAGGCAGGCAGGCACGAACTCACACACACAGCCTCACTTTTATAAAGAGAAATGAAAGGAAAACTTTCTGGTGTTCTCTGCTGTTGTTTTGTATTTTTTTTATTGTTTTTGGCTGGGAAAACAACATGTGTTTTGTAAGTTTCAACAATTTTAATATATTTGAAAGAATATGAGCTAATTTGGGAATTTTTTTTCAAGGCTTCAAAAAAAAAATCTTAGTTTTTCGAAAATATTTTTGCAAGGCTTTAATTAAAAAGGAGATTTTTTGAAAATATATTTTTTAAAACATACAGAGACGTATATTTTTAAAAAATATTTTTTTAAGACTCAGACTACGATGTGGAATTTTTTAAAAATATTTTTTCAGAATATTTATAGAAGAAGATTTAAAAAAAAAAAAAAAATCCTAGACATAGACAATGACGTGGAGTTTTTTAAAATATTTTTTCAAGGCCTAAAATCTGATGTGGAATTTTTAAATTTTTTTTTTCAAGGCCTAGATTATGAAGCGGATTTTTTTAAAAATATTTTTAAAAGGCCTAGAATATGATGTGGGTTTTTAAAAATATTTTTTCAATGCCTATATTGAGACGGGAATTGTTTAAAAATATTTTTTCAAGGCACATAACGAGACATGGAATTTTTTAAAATATTTTCTTAAGATTTATGGATTTTTGGATTTTTAAAGTATTTTTTCCAGGTCTTAATTGAGACGTGGATTTTTTAAAAATATTTTTTCCAGGCATAATTCAGACCTGGATTTATTTAAAAAATATTTTTTTACGGTCTATATTGAGAACTTGATTTTTTAAAAAAGTCTAGACTGTGATGTACTTTTTTTTAATTTTTTTTTTTCAATACCAATGTGAGACGTGGATTTTTTAAAAACATTTTTTCTAGGTTTTACTATGATGTGAATCTTTTAAAAATATTTTTTCAAGGCCTGGACTTTGATGTTGATTTTTAAAAAATATTTTTTCATGGCCTAGGCTATAATGGTTTTTTTTTAATATTTTTTCAAAACATGTATTGAGACATGAATTTTAAAAAATATTTTTCCTAGGCCTAGACTTTGATGTAAATTTTTAAAAATATTTTTTATATTGAGACGTGTATTTTTTAAAAATATTTTTTCAAGTTCTAAATTGAACCGGGATTTTTTAAAAATATTTTTTTAAGACCTTTATTGAGACCTGGATTTTTTAATTTATTTTCTTAGACTATGGCGCTAATTTTATAAAAATATTTTTTAAGGTCTGTATTTTTTCGAGGCCTAAGCTTTGATGTGGATTTTTTAAAAATATTTTGTTTAAGGCTTAGACTATGACTTGTATATTTCAAAATATTTTTTCAAGATTTAGACTCTGACGTGGACTTTTAAAAAATATTTTCTCGAGGCCCATATTAAGACGAGGATTTTTTAAAAACGTTTTTTCCAGGCCTTAATTGAGACGGTGATTTTTTATCAATATTTTTGCAAGGCCTACATTGAGACGTGGATTTTTTTTTTAAATTTTGCAAGGCCTACATTGAGACGTGGATTTTCTTTTTTTTTTTTTAAATTTTGCAAGGCCTACATTAAGACGTGGATTTTTTATTAATATTTTTGAAGACTTAGACTACGGTGCTAATATTTTAAAAATATTTTTTAAAGATCTGTATTGAGACCTGGATTTTTTAAAAAAAATTTTAAGGTCTATATTGAGACCTGGAGTTTTTAAAAATATTTCTTCAAGGCCTGGACTACGACGTGGACTTTTAAAAATATTTTTCCTAGGTCTAGACTGTGATGTAAATTTTTTAAAAATATTTTTTCCAGGCCTAAATTGAAGACGTAGATTGAAGACGTAGATTTGAGACGTAGGTGAGACGTAGATTATTTTTTCCATGCCAATATTGAGTCGTGGATTTTTTAAAAATATTTTTTCCAGGACTAAATTGAGACCTTGATTTTATAAAAATATTTTTTCAATTCTTAGTATATGATGTGGATTTTTTAAAAATATTTTTCCTAAGCCTAGAATGTGATGTAAATTTTGTAAAAATATTGTTTCAACACTTAGACAATGACGTAGATTTTTTAAAATATGTTTTCAATGCCCTGAATGTGATGTGGATATTTTAAAAATGTTTTTTTAAGGCCTATATTGAGACATGGATTTTAAAAAATATTTTTCCTAGGCCTAGACTATGATGTGGATTTTCTAAAAATATTTTTTCAAGACCTAGAACATGATGTGACATTTTAAAAAATATTTTTTCAATTCCTAGATTATTATGTGGATTTTTTAAAAATATTTATTCAAGGCCTAGATTATGAAGAGGATTTTTTAAAAATATTTTTTCAAATGTGGATTTTTTTAAATATATTTTCAGGACTAGACTATGATTTGGATTTTTTAAAATATTTTTTTAAGCTCTAGACTTCGATGTGGATTTTTTAAATATATTTTTTAAGGCTTACCCATGATTTAGATTTTTAAAAATATTTTTCCAACATCTAGACTATGATGCGGATTTTTTAAAAATATGTTTTTAAGGCCTGGACTATGATATGGATTTTTTAAAATATTTTTTAAGGTCTATATTGAGACCTGGATTTTTTAAAAATATTTTTTAAGGCCTATATTGAGACCTGGATTTTTTTACAAATATTTGTTCAAGGAATAGACTTTGATGTGGATTTTTTAAAATTATTTTTTTCAGCCCTAAATTGAGACGTGGATTTTTTAAAAATATTTTTTCCAGGCCTAAATTGAGAGGTGGATTTTTTAAAAAATATTTTTTCCAGGCCTAAATTGAGACATGGATTTTTTAAAGTATTTTTCCAGGTCTAAATTGAGACATGGATTTTTTAAAAATATTTTTCCAGGCCTAAATTGAGACGTGGATTTTTTAAAAATATTTTTTCCAGGCCTAAATTGAGACGTGTATATTTTAAAAATATTTTTTCCAGGCCTAAATTGAGACGTGGATTTTTTAAAAATATTTGTTCAAGGCCTAAACTTTGATGTGGCTTTTTTAAAAATATTTTTCTTAGGCCTTCACTGTGATGTACATTTTTTAAAAATATTTTTTCAATTCGTAGACAATGATGTGAATTTTTTAAAAATATTTTTTTCAAGGCTTATATGAGATGTGGATTTTTCAAAAATATTTTTCAATTCCTAGACTATGATGTGGTTTTTTTAAAAAAATATTTTTTCAAGGCTTAGGCTATAATGTGAATCTTTTAAAAATATTTTTCCAGGACTAAATTGAGACTTGGATTTTATAAAAATATTTTTTCAATTCCTAGACTATGATGTGGATTTTTTAAAAATATTTTTCAAGGCCTATATTGAGATAAGGATTTTTTAAAAATATTTTTTCAAAGCTTGGACTATAATGTGGATTTTTTTAAATATATTTTCAGGACTAGACTATGATTTGGATTTTTAAAAAAATATTTTTTCAAGTCCTAAACAATAATGGGGATTTTTTAAATATAGTTTTCATAGGCCTAGACTATGATGTGGAATTTTTGAAAATATTTTTTCCAGGACTAAATTGAGACTTGGAATTTATAAAAATATTCAATTCTTAATTGAGACGGGATTTGTTAAAAAATATTTTTAAAGCCTATATTGAGACCTGGATTTTATATATTTTTTTCAACGGCTAGTCTACATGTAGATTTTCTAACAATATTTTTCCAAGCCTTAATTGAAACATGCATTTTTTTTTAAATAAGGCTGAAACTAGATGTGGATTTTTAAAAACATTTTTTAAGGCTTAGACTATGACTTGTATTTTTTAAAATATTTTTTCAAGGCTTAGACTTTGAGGTGGATTTTTCAAAAATATTTTTTCAAGTCCTAAATAACGATAGGGATTTTTTAAAAATATTTCTCATGGCCTAGACCATGATTTGATTTTTTAAACACATTTTTTCTAGGCCTAGTCTATTATGTAAATCTTTTAAAAATATTTTTCAAAGGCCTATATTGAGACCTGGATTTAAAAAAAATATTTTTCAAGGCCTGGGCTATGATGTGGATTTTTTAAAAATATTTTTTCCAGGCCAAGAATATGATTTGAATTTTTAAAATATTTTTTCAATGCCTATATTGAGATGAGAATGTGGATGTGGATTTTTTTAAATATATTTTAAGGGATTTCTTTAAAATATTTATTGAAGCCCTAGACTTTGATGTGGATTTTTTTAAAATGTTTTTTCAAGGCCTAGACTATGCTGTGGGTTTTTTAATATATTTTTTCAAGTCCTATATTGAGACATGGATTTTTAAAAATATTTTTTATTTTTAAAGCCCAAATTCAGACGAGG